AACGTGTAGCTGCAGCTAATTGGCTGCTGATGCAACAGCAACCAATCAGCTGTGTAGATAACAATGTGATCGTATATCAAATTGTGTTAAGGACCTATCAGCCTGCGCCATCTACACTCTAAAAAAAAAGGTTCTTCAGCGGTTCTTCAGGGGTTCTTTGCAGTGGTCATGGTGCTACAGTATATAGCACCACTACCATTTAAAGAACCTTTTTTTGGTTCTTCAGTGGTTCTTCGATGGTTCTATGGGGTGGTTAACACTAGAAGTGCCAGAATTCCAAAACTACTAGAACGGCCACAAACGGTCATTTTGACCGTTAGATTCAAAACAGTGTTGACGAATAATTTTTGTAATTATTTTCGTAAACCACATTTTTTCAAAGACGAAAACGAGACGATAACTAAATAAAAACTAGGTTTGAATGACAAAAACTATGACGAAAATGTTAGATAGTGACGATTTGCGAAGCGGTCAATAGGCTAATAAAAATAATAGGACTAGCAGAACTAGTGAACCGCCCATGAAGCAAAACAAACAGCGCAGGACAGGGCAGCAGAGCTCACCAGGATCATCCGACATGAACGGAACATCTGGATCCGCCGTGTCTGATGATAGCAGCCGTCTCTTTTTCCTTGATGTGGACTCTGACTCTGAATCACTCTCTGATGAGGAGGAAATGATAACTTGCACCCAGGAAACGTCGCTGTCACTTTCCACCTCCGATTGTTCCCCTGCATCCGAATCATCACTCGTCAAGTTCTGAAGCATCTCCAGGGCCATGGACATGGTTCGAGTCATGTTCCTCTTCATTCGCTCATTCATTTTAGACATTTTAGCCTTGCAATATATAGGCTATATAGGCAGATAACGTTAGATAACTGTAGTCCGGTTTTATTTGCTTATTTCTGATCAACAACTAATGTAGAAATTATTATAGCAAACACTGCTACAGAGGTGACCGGACGGACCTTTCTGTTGACAGTTGAGAGAGAACACGATCAACCGCGGGATATTTAACAAAAATATACCGCAAAATTCAGTGCGGTCAATATGACCGTCTATGGCCGAAATAGGCAAATATGTTCATTTTTTTTGTTTTGCCTTACGTTTACGTAACTTAATTTAAATGAAAAGCATTTTAAATGAAAATACAGACAATTTTAGGAAAATTCAGGTACCAGCAGGATTTTATTATTTTTTTCAACAAAGTTATTGTAGATATAAAATTCAAAACGGTCAAAATGACCGTTGTGGCCGTTCTAGTGTTAAGGTGCTCTATTGCACCTCTTATGGTTCTACATAGCTCCATTTGATAAAGATAAGTCACTTAAAGTGGTTCCCCTATGATTACAAGCCAATGAACCACTTTCAGTGCTATAAAGCACCATTTTTGTTTAGAGTGTAGAGTTTCAGTTAGTAATAATAATAGTAATAATAACAATTTTGTTTGTGGTTTTTATTTTTCTCTGCTAATACAGGAATAATATTAATAATAATAATAATAATAATTAATTATTATTATTATTATTACTATTATATTCTTTCTTTGCCAGCTGCTATATTCCCCCCCCCCTTCATCCTTTTTATTGGATCCATCCTGTTCATTTTTTTTTTACTCCCCTATTTTTCATTTCCATCAAAGCATCTACTGGACAGACCATTTAAGGATTGAATTTCATGGTGCAATTTATCTTTGTGGTAGGTCCAGGTATGGTTTAAAACACGCTGATGGAAAGTTGACAGCTTAATTAGGTGGAGAATGTCGGTTTGTGCTAAGAATAAATGCGTTCACTTCTTTCAGAAGAAAATTGATTTTTTTTCTTGGAAAAAAAAGACCTTTCCCTCTGGAAAATATTACATGACACAATGAAATAATCCATAGGCCTGTTATCCAATTATTTATTAACAATTATTTTAATTAGCATTCATTATACTTGCAGTAGTTTTTTTGTTAATTCCATATTAATAATTAATAATAATTAGATATTAATAAATTTGTTTATTACATATATATATATATATATATATATATATATATATATATATATATATATATATATATATATATATATTGTTGCTTGTGTATCTTAGGTTTTACTGGCTAAGCTTTTTAAACATTGAGACATGAGTGTAAATGAATTGTGAGTCCAATAAATGTGTCACGGAATGGTCAAAAGTGAAGTGAGGATTCATGTGCAGGAACTCAGGATCTTTATTAAACAAAACTACAACCCAAAACTCCCCATGGGTAAATCAAGACAGGCATATGCACCAAACAAGAAACACAAGGGAACATAGACAACGAACCATGACTGAAAACACAGGGAAACTAAATGGGGAGAAAACATAAGAGGGTATTGAACAAAGCAGGAAGATTAATCAATTATCAGGTAATGAGATGGGAGGGGCTTGACAATTGACAGGAGAGCATGTGATCATAATGAACCAGACTAAACATAAACACAGGACAAACTGGGAATGTCAGAGCTCTGTCACCAACCAGAATATAACCCAGACAGAAGTGACAGAACCCTGACAACGTGCTGTTTATTTTGTTTGCTAAAACACTCCAAGGGTTTGAATTGTTTGACTTGTGCCGGTACAAATCTTTCCACTGAAGCCAAATACTGTGGGTAAAGAGTCGAGCACTCGCTTTGGGGTTTGCTGCAATCAATAGAGTGTGTTATCGTTTCTTAGTTCTTGTCGGGGGAATCTAGTGTTCACGCTGAAAAAAATCTCACTGCAGCTTTTTGTTAAAGATAGAACGTCCCCTTCAAAAAACACCCATTAACCCAGCGATAAACAGCAGTCAGTGGGGACGCGCAATTTCAGTGCTTTTAGTTAACGCAAACGGAACCTCCTGTAAAAGCAACGTCCAGTTTGTTTGTTACACAAAGTGTACGTGACACCGCGTTCCGTCCAGGCCAGTGTGTGTGTGTGTATGTGTGTATTACCCCAGGGCACACAGTGTGACTCTGTCAGTTATCTGAAGGTCATTACTATTGATTCATTGAGAACACGCAGTCTGTCTAACAAAACAGCACACACTGCCCAACGCTTTCAAGTGCCTGAGTGAAAGGAAAAGGCTTTCACTTTACAAAAGCATTCTGATAGTCCACACTTTGTTCAGTCGCCGTGGCTGTGGTTTGCTGATTGTGTAAATCTCTGACACTATAGGGATAACTTGAACTGAAAAATGGGGCTTAGTAACATGACACTGATTGTAGTCCGTACTAATGAGCTCAAGTAATTTCCCCCTCATATCACTTTCAAAGTGACATTTTGCTGTTTCCTCGTTTTCAGCAAGATCTGTCAGGACAGCTAATTTATATACTGGGTGCGTTCGCTCACTGTGCTGTTTTGTAAAACGCTGAGTTTGTCTAAGTGGTCTGTAGCATCTGTACTCGCTGTAGTTTGCACTTTTTGGGGGTGTTTTTATGCATTTTTCCAGCCATTTCACCAACGAACAGGAGAACGTGGAGGTCAAGGTAATGCAGGTGGTCAGGCTCTCATTTCTTCCCTTACTGTTCTGGACCACTCTTATCTTGTCTTACACCATTAACCCAGAAATTCACTGAATAAACATTTTGCTTTTCCCTGTAATATGTGTGTTTGTAAAGTTATTTGCAGCAACAAAATTATCGGAAATGTGAACGCACCTTCAAAATTCTTGTTGACGTGGGTTACAGAAATAACACTCATATACTTGGAATTTGATTCCAAAAAAATACATAACAGTAATGTTTATTATTAATATTTTGCGTATTTAATATTAACGTAATAATTCATTCTAGGGATGTAACGATACCCTCATGTCACGATTCGATACATATCACGATACTGAACTCACAATACGATATTATTGCGATACTCCAAGACATATGGTGAAAGGTTACAAAAAATGTACTGTTTATTAAAATGCTTACTTTGATATTACTTTGTGGGTTTAAATGAATAGGTTTGGACTTGCTGCTTATAACACAGGGACAGTGGTGAAACCAGAATAACAATATTCATGATTCTGAAGCTGAAAATACAGAATAATTTTAGACGAATATGCTAGTGCTCTGTCACTGACTAGATATATTTAAAATAATGTCAGCCACTTTTAACTGGTTACATCAGACATTTAGCATTATCAGGACCCACAAATATTCCCCCATTGCATTATTATACATTATAATCAACATTATATAGTAGTAGTTTAATGTAGTCTGAAAAAAAAACCCTCTAATATATACATATATATATATTTTTTTTTTCTACTTAGGGGGAACTATCCACAATACGTATTGTCACTATCCATGATACGTATTGTTGCATTTATGTATTGTGATATATTGTGGCACGATATATTGTTACACCCCTAATATATTTGTATTACATGAATGTAATATATACAGTATTTGAATTAATATTTACTAAATATTATATACTTTATTTTATGCCAGTATTGACATTTTTGTCCATCATGTTGGATTATTTCTTTTTCTTCAGTGAGCTCACCACAATGCATTCTGGGATTCCATAATCCGCAAGGATACATCATGAGATGCTGCTTTAGAATTTGACCATCGCACATGTTTGATGCATAAAATGCTGCTAATATTTGAAAGCTCAAGAAAGACCCTTCTTCAAGAGAAAAAACAAAAGAAGAAAAGCTATATGTATGCTCAGCTATCCATCAATGAATATATATGATGATTTCATTCTTCACCTGACGATCTGATGTTTTAGATGTGAGATACATTAACATTACAAAGGGATGTACAGGGAAGGAACTGAAGTCAATTTCCTACATTGAAATCCACACATCTGAACAAAAAGGTGAACGTACTGTAGAAGTACGCAAACATCAGTTTCCGCTACAAGACAGCGAGAGCTGCAAATCTTTGACCGGTGCTCTGGTCTTCATTGTTGCCTTTTGGTATGTTACGCTGCCTTTTCTTTTTCTGTCCTAACTAAATACGTCTGACTGTATTTCTCTTCCTCCTCCACAGAACATCGGGAAGGGCTCCCTGTGGTGCATAGATCCAGAATACAGACAGAATCTCATCCAGGCGCTGAAGAAGACGCCTTATCATCCTTATTCCCAGGTGTTCACCACGCCTCCCACCTCTCCTCAGGCATATCAAAGGTAGGCAACCGACCCACTAGACGCATCGATCTTTAAACCTCACCAAATGTCTCTCTCCCTCTCTGTGTTGTGCGCCCTTCCCTGTTGGTATTGGTTCTTCATACGTACAGTATATAGCGGAACCCACGGGCGGTAGTGGTGAGCTGAGAGGAGCTGTCAGATCGAGAGCCGGCGTTGGGTTCCGAGCGACTCCCTCACCGCTCCATTTGATTTTGATCCAGCGTACAGGTCTGTGTGCTTCCAGCAACTCATCTGTGCAAGACAAAATAATTGCTTTACTGTAAAACTCGAACTGGCATATCATCCTTAACAAAGGATATGGAGCAAATGGGCGCCCATTTGTTCTATATCCTTGTTAAGGTTGATAGCTCAAGCTCAGCGGCTAGAAAGGGAAAATGGAGACGGATGTTTTTAAAGAGATTGAATTAAACCAGACAGCTCTAGTAAGAGAGATAGGCTGGGGGTGGGTTTCAGGTGTTGCTCAAGCATGGCGAGATGATTAAGGAATGAGGCGGAAAAGGGAGCCGTGCTCAGATGTTTTTGGATAGGGTTTGTCACGACGGCCCGCATCAGTCCGTTCAGCAGTGCACGCTGCAAGCACATTGCTGCCTCATCAAGGCACAAATCTCACAGCTCGACAAACAAATGCTGAATAAGGTCATTTCTTTTAAAAAAAGAGACCCCCCCTCCAAAGAATGCATGTGTGCTGGAGGTGAAATTGCACTGTTTGCCAATCTGCACCAGAGAAAATCTGAGTGAAAATCCTCACATACCTGAGAAGTTTTTTTTTTTTTTTTTTTGAGAAGATTGATACATGAAGTCATTTTATTTCAAGGTTTCTGTTTTAACCTTGATTTTGAAAACTTTTGCACATGGTCATCTTGAATATCCACCCACAATCAAGTTTAATCAGGGACTATCTGCATTTGTGTTTGCTTGTGAATTGCTTCTTTTCTATGTAAATTTCAATTATTATTATTTATTTGTATTTGGCTGGCACTTAAAGCTGAGCTGTTGAAAAGTAGTTATTGTTTATTTTATTTTATATAGAAATGTATTATATATATATATATATATATATATATATATATATATATACAAGATTGTAATATATATTTTATATTTTTAAGCCGTTTTAAGTCTTTATATATATATATATATATATTATTATTATATATATATATATATACAAAAAGAAAACAAGATTTTAAAATATTTTTGCATAAATGTGCATATATTTATATTGTCCAATATATATATATATATATATATATATATATATATATATTTACTCACAATATATTTTAAGATTGAAAATACTTTTTACTCATTTAAAGGGATACTCCACCCAAAAATGAATATTTGTATTTTTTGGGTGGAGTAACCCTTTAAATACAAGTTTAATCCCAATATCAGTTTTGTAATACATATTTGGGCATTGGATTTATTTTTCTTTTTGAATTATATTTACTCAAGCCAGACTGTTTGCTGACAGACATTGAGTGAATACTTGAAATATACTTTGGTCAGAAATAAATAGTTTTGCCATGGGTATATCAAGACTATTTCAGCATTTCAGAGCTCAGAACCAGCCTGAAAGAAAGGGAATTGTGCTGTGCAAATTGTGTACCGCTATATATATATATATATATATATATATATATATATATATTGTCTGTGTTTGTGCCGTTAACTGATTTGCATAATTCCTTTAGTGATTCAGGTGCTAAAACAGCGCAGACAGCATGTGCAAATAAATGACGCTATCAGTGGGCACAGTTCATCCTCAGCGAATTCTCCTTCTCTATTGGGTGCTTGGCTGATAATGTTGTGTGGGTACAGCACTAGGCTGGTTATTAGCGCCAGGTGTTCAAAGACTCCGAGGCCCTGTAGGAAGAGGAGATCACAGAGGACGGTTCCTCTAGCCCACACCTCTTCAAAACAACAACCTCTAAATACTATTTTTGAAGATACACTCTTGAAAATAAACTCTTCAGTTAGAGCCAATTTTACAGATTACAGAGATTTTACAGATTAACGCCATAACCGTTTTAAGGTCCGCAAAAGGAGTTTTAAATCTCTAGATGTGCTGCTTTAAAGACCCCAGAAGAGTTTTACTGTTTCTGTTTTAACAGATGATGCACGGATCTGAACTTTATTTAACATTAGGAACTTTTTTTAATCTCCAAAGAACCATGTGGCCAATTTAAGAATCTGGTGAATCTGATTCGATGTTTACTTGCAGTGTAAATTCGGCATGTAAAAACGAACAACCCGGTCTCATCCCAAGACGTCATATAACTGACGTTTTGGGACGTCTTTTGACCATATGTCAATATTCGCCTTTTTAGGGCCCCCTTAAACGTCGGTAGATGAGGTTATGGGATCCTAACTCTACCCCATACCTAACCCTAAACCTACCCCGTCACCTAACTGACGTTAAAGGTAAAGCGTCAGTTGTATGACGGCCCGGGATCGCCATCTACCGACGTTTAAGGGGGCCCTAAAAAGGCGGATATTGACGTATGGTCAAAATACGTCCCAAAACGTCAGTTATATGACTTTTTGGGATGAGACTGTGTTAAAACGAACGGAAGAGGCAAATCAGTGACTCTTAATGACCAAACTTTATCTAATTAATATTCATATGGGGCTGAGGTCTGTAATGTGTTCCACCCTCTCACTGTTCTGATGGACCTGATGTAAGGTGTGTGTGTGTGTGTACAGTATGTGTGTAGGAAGCAAAGATAGCAGTGTAGTGTTAGGCACACACAGGTTTGGCTTCCTGTCTCTCGCAGGCCAGATGGTGAATCTGTGTGTAGCAGTGTGTAATAAAGTGTTTATTTGGCCACTGCAGCTCTTTTAGGAAGCCGAATGAAGCTTTTTATAGCATTCCTCAGGTTCACACGAATCAGCTGAGTCATAGACTGACACACTCCTCTTTTCTGCTCTTTTTTTACGCACCACTCTTTCATCTTTGCTGTTTTTGTGAGCAAAGCAATACTGTAGATTATTAAATCCTGCGAGTAGTAAGCCGGGGGCTACGGCTCTTTTTCATCCGCATGTTGGTCAGGTAGACAGATGGGATGAAGGCATGGTCTGTTCTGGTGATGTCATCAATACCTGTAGATTGGTATGTGTGTGGTGGGACTGAGGCGGACAAACAAAAAAAGCAATTTCAAGGGGAACCATTGCAACAATTTGCACCAGATATTTCAGCTACAGGCCTGGGTGTGAAGAGGAGATCATGGAAAACATGAATGATTCGACATCATTTTTTTAATGGAATAGTTTGATTTACTATGATGGCATACAAGACCCAAAGCTTCTGTTCAGTTTTAATTCAATTAAATTTTCCTCAAGCAGCAAACAGAATTGCAATCCAGATTCCAATGCCATTTAAACAAATTCAAATGAAATAATATGTTTGTATATATTTTAAATAATTAATGGTTTTATTCATCAAGGATGTATTAAATTGAAAGTCACAGTAAAGACTTTTAAATTGTAAATAAATACTGTTCTTTTGAACTTTCTATGCATCAAAGCACCTTGAACACAGTTTCCACAATAATATTAAGCAGCACTCTTTTTCAACATTGATAATAAGAAATGTTTCTTGAACACCAAAGCAGCATATTAGGAAAATTAAATATATTTTGAAAGGGGGAAAAAAAAAAATCATTTTAAATTGTAATAATATTTCACAATATTACTGTTTATTAGTCACAATAGTACTGTATTTTTTTATCAAATAAATGCAACCCCTGTGAGCTCAAAGCAGTTGTCTACATCTTTTGCCTTGGCTACGTCATGGCTACGGCAGTATGAACGGAAACCGAGGATAGCGTGGATATTGACTGGTGACTTTTTTTTTGTCGGCCACTTATTTAAAATTGGAATTTGGAAAAAAAAAAAATATTTGGAGAAGTTTGGGATAATGCAAGTACACAACTGCAGGAAATATATCACACTGTGTAAGTGATTTTTGGATATTTTATTACAAAATTCTTACATATTGTACCTTTAAGAGAATTCTTTCAAAAATTCGATTTTTTTTTTTCTGACCAATATTTTGCACAGTAGTGTACAATAACTGTAACTTGCTATAAAGTCTTGTTTGAAAGTTTAAAAATCTCAAATATTTTAGGTTTAAGGTTTATAGTCCTTTTGGAAATGCCAAGTTCTGTCATGAAACTCTATATGGCGCAGCTTGATGGTCCTTAATGCAGCTGATAATATTTACAGCATTTACTAGTTGGTTCATGTCACATCTGCAGCCAATGAGCTTGCTGCTCAACATTTAAATGTCTGGTGACCATTCACTACAGAAATTTGCAGCATGCTTTCAGAGTTTGTCTAAAACCCTCCACCCTCCCCAGCTCCACCTATATAGATCTGGTACGGGTAATTGATTTATGCTATTTGTGCAGCAGCAGTATGTCTTGCATGCTTACAGCAGTTTATCAGCGTATGCATTGGCAGTAGCAAGTTCCTGTATTTGCTCTTCAGCAGCAATTCAGCAGAAGCATAGCAGATTTATTCCACCAAGACCAAATACATCAACATTGTCATATCCATTACCATGCTAAAAATCTTCAGAGAGCTGTCATTAAGATATTTCAGGATGAAAGAACATAGAAGTCTGAAATATACAGTAGAACAAATATTTTGTCGCTCTCATGCTTGGTTTGGACAGAAACTGCAAGAAATGTTGTTGTGTTGTGCATGATTAGGACATGGTGTAAAGGTCAGAGGGAGGATGGGAAATGGCTGTTTTTGGTGTAAGAACTTTATTGCTAGACTTAAGAGAAAAAATAAATGGATGCGTTCCCTTTAAGAGGCTGCAATGTGAGCTCAGGTAAGACGAACATTCCTTAACATGCTCAGAGAGAGACACTACGAGCGCGATAGGGCAGGAGGAACAGCTGGGCCTCAGAGTTCAGCAATGCATGTTTGCCCTTGCGAGGTTATTAGCGTGATGGTCGGCATAGCAACAG